ATTAATAATGTGTTTTTCTGGAAGTAACTTCCGACTAAATCTGCATCCTTGTTAAATTTCAAATACATCATGAGTTGATTAAAGTATTTTCAGGAGTGTGGTGATTATAACCACTGTTCCTCAATCCAATTTGCAAGCCTATAAATTATTCTATAATCTATTTTTATTAGAATATTTTTGTAATAGTAATCTTTTTATTTATGGTAGTAGGCATTAATAAATGTTAATAGCTTTTTATATGTATATTATACCTTAATATTACACATGAGATCAAACTAAAGATTGCTTTCTCTTTTTGCAATTATTTTATAACTGATTTTTGAGTTTAATGACCTTTTGGATAACTCTACAAATAGTAGGTACAAAATTGCTTTACATATAACAGTCATTAAAAATTTATTGGTTTGCCCAGATGGTAAGGCTGTTTATTATATATTCAATACATTTGTTAGTATGTAGCATGTTTTAATTTCTTAAATGGATTATTAGTTACTTTTGGATATTTTTCAAAGTTACTGGTTTGTCGTTTAATTTTCAATCTAATGACCCATTATCAGGCCATTTATTTCCGTAAATTGAAGAAAATGACCAGTGCAGACATTTCATCATGGTTAAATCACTCCTGCAAATTCTACTTTGCAATAGTAATTCATATGGCTATTTATTCTTCTCTGGAGATTTGGCTTAATTATTATAATTTATATAGTTTATATAATAAGTCTTAAGCAAGAAAGTATAAGTTCACAAAGTTTATTCCCCTTGGGCCTATATGCTTCAGAAAGGTATTAGGCTTCTTTTTAAAGGGGTGCCAAAACCCGAAACTGCTGCTGATGCAGCTACTGTAGCATGATTTATTGTTGCTTTTTTTGCTTAAATTTCTTACCCAGAACTTTCTCCAGTAATTTTCCAAACAAAATTGTCATAGATATCCAAATGGTAAGGTGATTTTGCAGCCATGCAAGCACTTCCGTAAAAAATGTCACACCAGATAAGAACTAAAAGATGCACAGATATTTTTATTTTGTGCTTAAACAGGTCTTGCGTGTCGCCAAGCAGTGGCTTGTCTCAGGTTTTGTGCTCATTGCATGCGCTTGTATCAGGTGTTGTTTTAGTGTTAGACATTAAAATTATTTATTCATCACGATGAATAAGAATAATTGCCTTCAGGACCCTATGGGACTCGCACCGTCTGAAGTGTAGACAAAATACATTCCGTATCGGCCATTGTAGAAGGCTTGAAATGGATGAGTTTAGGAAGATTGGAATTTGGAATAATTTCATCTAATTTCAGAAATAATGTAATTTAGTCTTCACGTATATTATCAAAAACCTCATCAAGTACCAGCCATAATAGTGGATTCTGCAGTATAATGCTACAGTGCAAAATAACAAGAGACAATGATACAATACTTTCACCAATTGAATTGCACTTTATGAAATATAATTTTGCACTTAATTTAAAAAAGAATCTCACTTATAACAGTATTACAGTATATATTATTCATTTATTAATTGGCAATTATTTTTTATATATACATTATTATTTCAGTTCACATTCAATAAATGCAAACATGGAATTACAGTAATTTACACATATTGCATTCTAAATGAGAGTTGAATATCTTGGTGGTATGGCAGGGAACACGCTGCCCACCAATAATGATGATTTCAAATAAAAATAAAATTATGTTTTCCTATTTAGCAAATAAGTTTTGCCAAAAACATCCAGAGAGAGGAGAAAATAAAAATAATTTTTTTTTGGAATGGTTAAATGCTTTAAATTTAAATAATTAGGAAGAAATATAATATTTTTTGCAGATTTCAAGGCAGCGTTGGGCGTAATTTAAATTTTTAAAAACTTATATTTTTTTTCCTGAAATTTCCATTTTTCCGTGGCGGCGGGTGGCAAATTGGCCAAAAATAAAATTTTATTTTTATTTTTGATCGGCAGCAGGTTTGCTTAAAACAAGTTATAAAAAAATATCGCCTAATGTACCCTCCCAATCCCAATATCGAGAAATATTGGAAATTGCAGAATATGATGATAAAATTTGCTCTTATTTATTTTTAATTGAAAGTTATTAACTCAACATAGAGAGTATATCTGTCAGAGTACTTTGAACCTATAGACTTTTATAAAAAGTACTAATACCAAGATTGGTTGTACAATGGAATTCATGCCAAGTGTCTGAGAGGATGCTCCTTAGCTAGATATACTAATGAAGTGGTAAGCCAGAAACAATTGGCTGCATCTTGAAATTCAATTCAAAGTAACATAATTTTTTTACTTCCTTTGTGTAGAGAACTAACAAGTACATTTCAAAAAGGTATTAGAGAGGTTTCACACAAATATGTGTACAAATACGTTTATCCGGAACGGTTCATAGCCATTCTGTGTTTTTTCTGCAATCACAGCGCAATTCAAGCGTAGCCTAGGGCCTTAGCTAAGCCCACTAGTACTATATTCTGTTCTCTTCTTTCATCAAAGCACCGACAATTTGATACCCCAAAATAAGACGCATCCTATCGTAATTTGCTGTCATCAAATGTCACAAAAGTATTCAAAGATACATTTATTTTTTAACACTTAAAAATGAGAAAATAATCGAAAATCCTACTAGAAATCCAAAATTGCCTTACCTGTAGTGAGCGAGATATGCGTGTCGTCCACACGTTTAGCGGATAGCAGCCGGCGTATGCATCATACTAACCATACACATTCGCGTGCGAAACTACCCTATTATTAAAAAAGTACAAACGAAGACGACATTTGCCTGAGATGATCTTACAACAAGGGGCTAATAGATAGCAGTTTGCCATATCTAGATAAGTTTATCCTTTGCAAGATCCAGCAGTATACAACAGATTCCATGCAAATATAAAACTTATTGACATATTCCTGATGATGACATAATTAATGTCGAAATATTGAATCCCAACACGATGGCGTGTATTTCAATACTTGGAGTATGTATTATACTTTCTTATCTGAGATTAATCAGTGGACCTTTCGGTTATTGACATATATATTCCTGAAAATTTCAACACATACATTTAATGGAGATTGTCGTATATGATAATTGTCTTATATAGTGCATCATGCCTATCGTGTCTAACAGTTAAGGCAGGGGTGCCGCATTAGGGCCAGTGTACACAATGTACACATGCACTTTGAAGAACCCAGTACATCTTTTGAGACAAGTAGGGGGGTTACCCCAAGTGTACTGGTTCATACAGCCCCTGTTATGGACAGACGAGATACCGGTAGCTGGTACCGGTTTACTGGGTAGACTTCTGTAGGCGCAGCTGTTAAAGCCCATCTTGCTAAACCTTAGCACTGAGTAATAGTCCTTACCCACCCCCCACCATCTACCTTCTTACCTCCCCAGTTATGTCAACCAGGTACCATAGAGATATAATAAGAATACTAGAGCGCTAACAGCAATGTATTCGATGTTAGAAATACGCAGAGCTGTGTGTGTGTGTACCATCCAAGATGGCTGCCATAGATTCAGCCAATCAAATTTCGCCTGAGCACTATCATTTTCAATGGCGCCCTCAATTTACACAGAAAGTTCAGTACAGCTAGTTACCCGTATGTTTGAAACTCGAGCGTTGCGGTGTATGGGTGTAATGTACACGATTTTAATTTTTTTAAATATTTGAATAAGATGCTCTACTTGCCTCTTTTTGGCTACAACAGTTATAATAATTTGTCATTGTCAATTCAAATTATCAATAATGAATTAATATTCAGTCAGAGGGCTTATTTATTGTAATAATATGTATACTAAGCCTGAAGGTGGCACTTTCCTATGGCAGCCATCTTGGATAGTACACATACACAACTCTGCATTGCTCCGCCATCTTGTCAGCACTCTAGTTGTTTAATAGCTCTATGCCAGGTACTCATTTAATGCTCAGAGAAAGAGCTTCCTCGCATGGAATTGTACATGGCCATTGGATGTATGTATGAAAATGAGTCTCTCAACCTAGGAACAATCAAGCTGGTTTGCTTGTGTATTTCAGTATATGATTCATATATACATTTATGAAAAAAACACATGCAATACATTTAATAGTGTTCGGAATCAATAATGTGCTCTTTTCTCAGTTACTCTCCTTAACAAAGAAATTGAGTTTTATTGACTGGAAATATGGAGAAATTGAAGTGTACCCTTAATGACTTTTTATTTCCAATTGCCACATCGATAAAAGCAATCTGTCAAAGATTGATATATACTAAAATATCACTGTTGCCACAACAACCAATTTGTTACTACGGTCTGTTGCAATATTGTATTAAAGCGTAGTTAAATTTTTTTTGTTATGAATTGTATGTTATCAAATTATTACACAATTTCCACTGTATTGTGTTGTCTGAATTTTGCTCGGATAAGAAATCATCTTTTATAGGCTTATTTATGAACTATATAGTCAGGTAGGACAAACATCGATTCATATTATTCCTGACACAAAAACGTCATCGGATTATATAGTTTTATTTATATCATTTTTTACATTTATCTTATAGTATTTATCTGAATTTATTACACATTCATATTGATTTGACTTTCAATATCTATTTTATGATTATAATTTTATTATGCAATATTGTTATTCTGTCTTTGCAACTTGGCCTGAAGAAAAACAATGCTGTTTTGACAATGATCGAAGTAACCTAAGTTATAAAAGATTTTTTTTTCGAATTATTGTTTTTATTGTTAATATAGAGCCTTACACAATTAGCATATTGCCTAAAGATATTGTATACATGTTTTATAGATCAGTGCTAACATTACAAAAACAATCTTAAAGGTTATTTGAAAATAAAATTGTATGGAGCTCATGTCAAAATTGGGGAAAAAAAACATTTTTTATTTGCATGGAGGATAATTTGTCTCTAACTAGGGATGGACAGTCTAGATTAGAGAATAAAGTATATAACCAAAAAAAAAACAAGGCAAAACAATACTTTTTATAACATTTTTCTTGCACAGGTTACGGTATTTACCTGCTGAATACTTTGATTTACCTGTTCAGGCAGTTCTCTGTGAAGTGTATGGTTTACTACCGCCATCAGATACAGCAGACGACTGTGAGATGCTACCGACCACAGATTGGCCATTGGCGTCCTTGACACGATTACTTGAAGTTATTGCAAACAAAGAACAAGTTGCTAAAGTTTTGGTAATGTATAATTTGAAATACTTTATAATTAATTTTTATTTTATGTTGTTTGATAACCAAAACTAGTTGTACCTGAGCAGGACTCGGGTTAGGTTGACACTAGAGCCCTATTATCCAGATCGGCTAACCATTAGCACAAACTGTTAACACTCTTGTGAGAACGCCCAATCTTTTAGTTGAGCATGTTTCTATCATTAACCAATCAGAAAATTTGGAGTTCCTATTGGCCAGTGATCCCATCATCATTATCTTAATATCTGGATCGTGGATTTTCTTGTATGAATGCAAGGGTGAGCACGTGGTGATATGCTCTCGAGCGATGGCCTAAAGGTGCCCTCATAATCTGTTTTCCTCATACACTCACATTTTTTTATTTGTCAAAATTGTATTCTTATTTTCTCCTTTTTTTCCCATAATCTCTTGATTACCTTTTATAAAAATTGTGAAACAAGGAATAAAAAAAGTGTTTGCCCTTTCTAAAGCTGAGTTTATAGGATTTGTTTCACTGGTACAACCTGCTTGGTTTTGAGGTGTCAAGGGAGGCATCATATCTAGTATTTTATTAAAACTCAAACAATATTCTACAGTATGATCATATATCTCATCAGAGTAAATTAATTTTATATTTATACTTATTAATATGATCAGAGGCAGATGTAGGAGTTTGTATTAGATGAGGCTCATGGAGGGACTCTCAGAGATAAGAGGGTCCACCAACCTTATTCCCACCATGGCTGTTTATTTTTTCTCCATTATTTTTTTTTCCATTATTTTTTTTTTATTAGCTTTTAAATTTTTTCTGTTTTTATCAAAACCCTTTGCCTGATGAGTACAACTTTAAATATTCTTTTTTTTTTTGCTAGCAACATGGATCATTACCAAAAATTTGTTTATACAATGGATTTGAGGTGACATTACCGATGTCCAGTGTGCATGCAACTCCATCCAACTATATATTTATGCCGCTAGTAGAAGAAAAACTTGCTGAACTTGATAATACAAACATTGGAAGGTATGGTTGCTATTGCATTTATTAGAGTACTGTTTGTGGTAGAATCTAAAAAGAAACCCTCAAACATTTCATTACCACGTTGAATTCAGTGGCCAATCCAGGAGTGGCCACAAAGAACTTCCCCCTAGTAGCACCGAAAAATCTTTTAATAAATGTGAATCCAGTACTTAGCCCCAGGAACATCCCAAACCATAGGTCCCACCTCTCCTTGGGCATTAAATACTTGATAGACATCCTACCCCCTAAATGCAGATCAAAAACAATTCAGTGTTTGGCGATTTACAGACTTTCCACTTCATTGTATCAGACTGTAAAATAATATATAGTAAGTACATTATGGCACTGACAATTATAGATTGACATTTAACAGGGCACATAATTACTAAATTGTATCACAGGATCAACATTTTAAATACCCCCTACCCCACCCACTGACTGCTTGTTTATTTTGGGAGGCATGCTATTCTGATTGGTTTACTTTGCTGAGAAATACCTTGTAGAATTTGAAATGTAATTGGTTCAGGCGCCTTGTACCAAGGGCGCAGATCACCCTTCGGACCGTCCACTTTCACCGGTTTTCTGGACGGACCGGTTTAGAGAACATCATTTTTACCTACCTTGGTTCCCTGACCTTGAGTCGATAATAAGCCTAGGCCTAGCAAGGTACAGCAGATAGGTACACCACACTGCATCATGTACTGTGTAGGCCTACTGACCTGAAAACATTTAAAATTCATGTTTTACTTTATTTTTACATTATTTATGTTGTACGTACCTATTTTTTTTGTGTGGAAGTCTATTATCAATAAAAATTTACACAAATCAACTTAATGTGTATCGTAATTTATAATAAGTGTCAATGTTATTTTTCATTCGATCGCCATACTGTAATCTGCTTCCCTTCAACGTGGTTGCACGCTTGATTGGTTTTCGATGCCGCTGGCATAACCTTGGTGGGTCACTGAATGCTAAAAATAAGTGCTAACTTATGCAGCGCCCCCTAAACTGCGTCAGCCAATAGAAAAGCCTTATGTTGGGACCGCTTGGTTTGCCTTAGCGTGAGAATGAATGCAAAATGTGAGAAAAGGATACGTTCCTTAATAAAGAAAACCACACTCATGAACTTTTTTTTATCAGTTTATTAAACAAATGAAATCTAGGCTCATTGCAATTAATTAATTAATGCGCTATTGGCGTGTCACACGATCAACACTAACGATCGTACATGTGGTGTTGTTCTGTGATTGATAGTTGTTATTTGGAGTCAGTCGATGTGTCTCCGATGATTTATTTAACATATTTCGTCAATAAATCATCGTTTTAAACTGGCCGTCCGGTTTTCAGAAGGTAATTTTAT